GAATGCCAGAGGGCCGTTGACGATCGAAACACGAGGCATATGCCCCTCTCCGTTCCGGGCGGGGGCGGACCATGAGGCCCGCCCCCGGATCGGGGCATTTGGCAAACCGTTAGGACGTGCGTGGACGCTACTCGAGACAGAAGCGAACGGGAAGCGTGCGGATGACTGAATGGGAATCGGACGTAGGAAGGTAGCAGCCCCGTAGTAGGACGAGAGGATACGGAGCAAGACAATTTACGGTTAAACGGTCATTTGTTAAGATACACTCAACTTCAACAGACCGCATTCGATTGCCCATCAGCCTGAGGAATTGGCTGGTCTCGCGTTTACGGCTCTGCAGCAGGAGCGCCTGGACTGTATCCGTTTGACACGGCAGAGGTACGTTGGTGGATGCCACATGCACGGGATTTGAAACCACGCCCCGGATATACAGGAGGACATGGCCCCTCCGGGCGCTGGCACTGTGCAGGCGACCTCCAGCGCACCCAGGCGCTGCGCCCGCCCTCAGCCCGCCACCCACCCTCACGGCGCTATGGGGAACTACGTCTCGGTTGCTGAGGCGGATGCCCCCGCTGAGGATGCGGCCACCGAGCCGGTAAGGGCTTGCCACCCACCCCGGGGCCTTGCCCCCGAGTATGCCCGCCACCCCCGGGCTAGGCATGGAGAACTTGCTAATTGGATCAATCGGCCGTTTGACCCAGGTTTCTGAGAAGGCGTATGAGGACGCTCCGGAGGGGAGTGCAGGGGAGGATGATGCGGGGGAGGACGGGGAGGGGAAGCCTGAAATTAAGGTGAGGGCATGCGACGGGTCGGGGCGGGGACGCCCGCCCGGCTGCTGATCTCATCGGGACGGCGCAGCTCGAGCGGATGATCGGGGGCAGAGAGGGGCGCCCGTGAGCAGGGATCTGTTCAGGAACGTCCGTTGTTTGTCGGGGAGTTGGGCGCTGCCAGATCCCTGCGGCTTGTCGACGATGACAGTTTTGGGCCTGCCTTTTTCAGATCTGGACGGCGCCCGTGGACCGCCGCTTCCCTTCGGTGAACCAAGCCCGCACGTGCTACACGCGTTACAACGAATACTACAAGTGAGTGGCCCAAGTTTGTGTTAGGCTGCTCGAGTCGTTTCGACTTCTTGGGCGCCCTGGAGGCCTGGACATGGCCCCTGGATGGGAGCAACGCGGGCATGCATTTGACCGGTGCCTCCTCCTGGTGTGAAAGGTGCGCGGCGGAGAAAAGCGAGGAGCAGTGCACCTTCTACAAGAAGTGCTACCAATCCCTTTGCCCTATTGAATGGGTGAGTGGTTACCAAGAGGGAGCGTGACCCATGACGACTTCCTTTTCAGTGTGGCACCTTTCACTCCGAAGCCGAACATGAGGCTGCCTAGTGCTGGCTGAAAAAACGTACTAGCCAGCACCGTTGCAAATGATGTGTGGATCTGGGCAGCCATGCTAATATTTTAAGGTTGTGACATATTTGTAAGATGCATACCATTGCGGCTTGGCTCAAACGGTTCTCTCCATTTGCAAAGCTCCCTTGGCCTGTGAAGCCCTGCCTTAGCAAGCAGCACAAGTGGGTTGCGAGGATCAGTAGAGAGGCTATGAATACATGTCCATGGCTTTTAAGGTTGAATTAACCTACCTATCAGCTACACTGGCAACAACATATCCAGGCAGTCCAACTGAAAACCTCTGCTTGTCTTCATTTTGCAGATCGAGAGATGGGAAGAGCAGCGTGAGGAAGGCACCTGGCCTGGTCGTTACTAGTGCCGTGGGTGTGAACATTGTTTAGGGTCTGGACCTTCTACAATATTTAGGGACCGTACGCACCTTGCCCTGTGCACAGATATGTGGATGGCCAATCGGGCACGACCCAGTGGACAGCACAAAACACAATATTTTGGAAGGATTCTAGTGGGGGACAGGGCAGCCACAGCAAATGGTTCCTGCCTCTCTTGAGCTTGGACAAGGACTTCTTTGGTCTCCATCATCACTTGTTGATCACAAGATTCTTGAAGGCAACAGATCTGGCTGCATTCGGGGCTTCAGTAAGCGTGAGATATGGGCATCCTGTTGGTAGGCCACGGTAGTAACAAAACTGTGCCCTGGATATGCACACACAAGCAGGAGGGCCACTGCAGGACATCTTCTGGTGGTGATGCCAGTGGTGCCCGAGTGAACCAGCCAACATACAACCATGGGGACACAATGTCACACTTGTGTCACCTGTCACTCCAACCCAAAAAGCATCTCAAACTAACTGTCCATATGTGCACGGCCACCTGACGTGCCATCGGAGTTTTGCGCAATGTCCAGCCTGTCAACTGCACAGCACCAGCAACATTATCTGACAGTAATGTCAAGCTGAGCAACACCGGCCACAACTCCACCAAGATAAAATCGATCGGCAGCATCGTGCAAGTCGCTGATTGGGGCCTGCATCTGCCTGTGCACACACAGTCTAAGGAACACTGAATGTAAGCAGGAACAAACGATCCACACTTTGTTTGACCACAAAGCTGTGCTGAGTTGAGTGAGTTCCATTTCAATTCCCCGGTGTGCCAAACTTGGTGGTGGGTAGATTGTTGTGTGGTGATGTTGCCACACCCTTCCATTGTGGTATCACACCATTCTTGGAGTGCTCTGCATTACCAAGGTTGCATACCTCGTTTAGGGCTCAACAAGACCTGCCATAAGAGGTGCGATCATCTTGCAGCATAAATTCCTGCACAAGTGTTTTCCATCTGAAAGCAGCCAACCACTGCATTCATCTGGGTAGGCCTGCCATCTGAGTTGTGACTGAAGCAACCACATCCGATCCCAACAGCATGCTGGCGCAGCCCCACTCAACGATGGCTGAACATTCAAAGAGATTGTCCATTTCATGCAAACTATCATGTTGCTGAAGATTCCTTTGTGGATTCGACGAAGTCATAGAGTGACCATGTTGCTGATGACAGCAACAGCATAGCTCTACATCGCCTCAAGTGCACCTGCACTTTCCACTATTGGCTCTGGACGTAACATCTGAAGCATGGGCCTCTGAGACATCCCTGTCTAGGCTCAAAATGGTGTCCATGATTATGATGTTGTGTGAATCTGTGCCCTCACTGCCTTCGAACAATATTTTGCATCGTTTTCATATCTTTGTGTTGCTATCCTTACCTTAGCCAGGATGTGCAGTGGACCACAGTGCACACCAGCACACGCAGAAGCACTGACAGTCTACTGCACAAATTGGATGGCAAAGAGTCTGCAAGAGCCATCCCACCTGAGGCTTTTCCAAAGTTTGGGGAAACAACACGAATGCTGCAGACCTGCGTTCCTGCCTATTCCAGTTCTCTGCAAGAGTTCGTCACCAATCAAATGTGCCACTGTGCCAACTCCGCTGGCATGCAACCCAGCTACAGCAAGAAGTGCAACACCAACGGCGGAGAACATGCCTCAGACTTTGATGCCATCTCATGCTGCGTTTTGCCTGGGAAGGACCCAGAGCCACAGTCATGCCATTGTAGTCCCATATTGTGGTCGTCATCGGCACTCAGAATCATACGAATAAGACGCTACTCCTAGCAGTCCTCAAATCAAAGAGAGTCATCGCCTCAGATAGACGGATAATGCAATTCAATCATCAAGGATCAAGGAACATATGCGTCTCATCCCTGGCAGCACGCTTATCCAACAGCACTCAGACTACTGGTCATTGTCTTGCGTGTAATCAAAGGTCACCCTCAGAAACAGCCTCTGGAAGTGGATGTCGTCACTGTGCTGCGCCTATTCGAGACCAGCAAAAGCCGTCTGAATAAACGTGGCGGCAGTCGGGGTCGGCCGCAACCACCATGCTAGCCTCGCGATGGAGGCCGAGGAGCCAATTCCCTGTCCACTGTCGCTCGCCAAAAGTCTAGAGAAGAGCGCGGCGGTGGCGATCGCTCCAGTCGCGGTAGTGGTGCGGTCGTGCGCTGAAGGCGCGTTTCAAACACTGTCCTGGGCATGGCGGCGCGAAAAAAGACAAGGGTTGGCGCTGCTGGTGGAGCAACGGGTGGCATCAGTGCTAGTAATAGTAGCGCGCGTCTGAGAAACTACTGAGAAAAATGCAGCCTGGCACTTTGCTCAAGGAAAGCTGGCACATTGAACTCGTGCAACCCCAAATTACAGCAGCGTGCGACACGAACAAGCTCGATCAGTGTAAATACAATTTCTCTGGCCATTTAGGGCCCAGCAATAATGTTGCTGTGAGGTGAGCATGGCACTTGGGGCGGCGCTGTGCAAAACTTGCCGTGTCTGACAGCTGTGGGCTGAAGCATTGCCAACACGTGGAAAATTCCAGTTGCAAGGTATAGAGACATGTGCGGGACTGCCCATTGCCTGGGTACCAGCACGCATGTCGCCATGACCGAAACCAGAGCTTGAGGGGAACCGTTCACGGGGTGTGGAGCAGTGTTGGGGTTCAGAGAGAAGTCGCGGTCATTGAGGCCAAAACAGTGCGGCCACCGGGAATCGAACCCGGGTCAATCGCGTGGGAGGCGATTATGATACCACTACACCATGACCGCAATATGCAATACATATTTAGGAAATTATATAATACTTTAACCCTATGAATGGCGGTCTTCTTCGACCATTTCCTTTCTGATTGTGCATGAAATGTGGGTAGGCGGAGAAACGGAGGAAAAGAACCTCGCTTTTGCTCACTGCGTAGGACAAAGTATCATCTCCGGCATGGGTGTGCAAGTACCTGATGTATTTAGGCATTTGACTGGTATCCCTAAGCAAATACCGCCTAGCATGATGCTCACGGTCCAGGCTCAAACAACGGAGACAAGACTGGGTTATACCTTGCTGGGCCTCTCTTCATGCACGAGATGTGATCACATGGTTTGTGATCCCCTCCCAGATGCCTCATCGCCTGGTCCACTGTTTGCATCCCTTCCTTGTCCCCGGCCTCCTGCATCCTTTTTGTTTGCAATATGGGTGCCCAATCCTGCAACGACGTCGATGTGCGGCATGGACGAGTTGCTGTGAAATATGCCCTGAAGTGCAGTGCAGCAGGCTGACGCTGGGATGTGTGTGGCGTGAGGGTGCAACGTGGGTGGACTCCCATAAAGTGGAGACAAGGAGCTCTCAATCCTGCGCAAATCTCCGCAACTCTTGGGGCCCTGTTGGGATTGCTACATGCAGTATTGATGTTGATGTGGAGGTGTTATTGCCATGGCATTGTTGCGATGTTGTTAGAATGTTGGAAGTGAGTTGGACACAAAAACGAGGGCGTGCAGTGGACACCTTGCACAATTCCTTGCAGCATGGATGGAGAATTGGATGCCCCATAGCCTGTTGTGCTTTTTGTTAGGGTGAGATCTTCCACGTTCATCAAGCACAACACTATTGTGCTTGGGAGTTCAGAATCTAGGACACCAAAACAATGGCATTTTCTGGTTTTGTATCCTGGGGGTAGCCTGGCGTCGGCTATTGAATCTGCGACCAGCACTCCTATAAATGATGCCATAGGTGGGCATGATTAGCTAATTTCGTTGCAACGAGTTGTTTGGACTGAAAACCGTCCTGTAGGTACACCTTGTGCAGCTTATGGCTCTGTAGCACACCCCTCATCAATGTGTTTCGCTTCTCCCAGCATGTGGACAACTGCCCTCAGCCTTCTATTAGTACATGTGGTCTTATGTGTTGTGTATTACACAACTTGTGTCTGCCTATGTGCCTCACCTTGGCACTTCACCCTCAGTAGGTGCTTGGGTCTCGTTTTTTTGTTGATATTCATGTGGAAAGTAGCCCGATGGCGCATCTTTCCTGTTGTTGTTGCTCATAGTAGACTGGCGACCCTGCTTGAAGGAAACTGTGTCCGTCACTGCCTCACTGAATTTAATAAACTCAAAGCTTCTCCTTGCCTATGCTCGGCTGCTGTGCGTGATCCACACCAAGCGGCTCAGCCCAGCGAATGGTGTGGCGCGCACATGCGCATGAGTCCCTCCTGTATTCAATGTGATTCTCCTTCTTTCCATTGCACTTCTCATGTGGGTTTGTATACTACACTATCATCCCCTTTATTTATTTTCATTCTTGTCTGCTTGTGGGCTGCACTCTTCACAAGCACTGGCTCTCCAACCCGGCAGGCGCAGGCGCTGTGGTTGTGCGGCAAACCAATGTGCTCTGGATTGCCTTTGTGCTGCACATGAGCATCCTCGATCAGCTAGGGTTTGGTAGAGTCGAGCTGCCATGGGCGGCAACCGTTGAGCTGGTTACAGATGTCTACAAACAGAGTTGGGACACGCTCCAAAGGTTCACTGTGGTGTTGCTTCTCCCTGCCTCTTTCGCTGCGCTGGCTTGGTGAATAGCAGCATTTTGTGGCATATCGGGATGCCTGCAAGCCTGTGGTGCACATGGCCCAGATGGGCAATTACTTCCTGCTCACCATGGCTGCATTGGCGCCAGGGTTGCTGGAGTCAGGAAAGCTGTGCTGGAGCCCGTGGATGCTTGTCTCTGGTGCTGTCACATGTCGACTTGCTCGTGGGGCGTCACTGGCAGTGGTTTGTGCCACACTGGTGTGTGGGACGTACAGGGATATAAACCCGCAAGATGGCGTGCAACTGGGGCTCCCACTTTACCCCAAGACTTCGCTCTGTCTGCAGCTTGATTCACAGCAGGTGTGCTTGAGCAGCTGCCAAGTCCTGCGACTGGATTGGGGTACATCTTGGTGCCTTACAACGGGGCTGTCATACCACAGGGCGACATCATGTTGCAGATAGGGAGCACATCACATTTTGCTGTCCCTATAAAGACGGAAGCCACTCCGCAAGCAAGGAAGCATTCACCCGATGCGAGTCGGTAGGACAGAAGTGCCTATGCACTTTTCATTGCTCTGCTCGATGCACTGATAGGTCCCAAGCTGCGGCTGGCGTGGCTCGTGGAGAATGCAAGGCATGTCGATTCAGCAGTCGGGTCGCAATCTCAAAAAAACCACTCAACAGCTTAACCAGCAGCTTGTAACCCCCAAACCTGGCAGGTCTGAGACGAAATTGACAAGCGACGGCACGCCAACATGCAAGCCCAGTCGCACTTAATACGTAAAATTGAAGTTCGCACATTTACACAAGTCTGTCATATCACACTCCTGCACACAAATACACACTCCTGCACGCAACTTCATGCATGCAGAGAGAATAACAATCAACAACAGCCAATTTGGGGAAAGAAATGAGCTACGAATGATCCTCAGCATGCTGTAGCCACACAGAACAGCAACACAGTGCCCAGCACACGCTGCCAGCCGGCCCCCTTGCAGATGAAGACCCATCTGAGAAGGAAGAGAAAATAGCCCCCGGATCGGCGCCTTTTACCTGCTGGTCCTCTGTCGTCCTATCTACCATTACCCCACGTCCTCACTTGTCCACAAAGTGCAAAGATGCAGGTGTGCCTCTGTTCCTGCCGGACGGCCCCAGATCCTTGTCACTGTCAATCTCAATGCCAAGGTTACCGTCGCACAGGCTCCCACTGTCTCCTGCAGAGTAGGCATCGGACCGCATCCTGCTCCCTGACAGCAACCGCTGTGCAGAATCTCTGTGATTCCGGAAACTGCTGCCTGGAGCATGGAAGAAAGTGAGTTCAGTGGAAAGCTAGTTGTGAGGCAAGTACTGAGAGATGCTGGTAATCGATCAAATAGGATAATAACAAAGTGTCCATACGATGGGTACAGACGCCACTGGCTCCAGGAACAGATCCAAAGGAATGTTCAGCATCGGCAGCACCATTGCACACCCCCAAGTCATCTGCTCTCCAAAGGTGCTGTGATGGTGGCCACCTACACATTCCCTTCCACACTCGAGCTGTACCCAAGAGTGTATTCTCAACTAATGTGCTGCATTCAATACTGAGCTTCCATTGGCTTCTGGGACGAAATCTTAGTGTTTATGAAATCCTTGCACGCTGTACTATCCGCCCGAAGATGTCAAATACTAAGCTGGAGTTAATTCAGTGCACTGTGGTTGGTGATTAGATCAATCACAGTGCAAGACATTGATCCTTGTATCATGTGCGTGAACCCACCAATCTGCTGCTACAATCCCAGTTCCTACAGTTCTCAAACATCCACGTTCCAATACAATCCCCATCCACTGGTTCATCTTTGTGTACAGATACTACCCCGATTTCATATTAGAAAACATCATGACTGCATCAGAATGAACTTTCGAGCTGCCTTCAAGTGCGAATCTGATGTGGTACGGTGTGCACAGGCAGGGCTGTCTTATTCCACCTCAGTGGTGGTAGCGCACAACGCCTTTGGGCAAATGATCTGCCGCAACAGTGTTGCAGTAGCAAGCTTTCGGTGATCTGCCAGGGTGCTCTATGGAGGGCTACCATAAAGAACATGCAAATTGCGAGCCACTGACACCAGAAAACACTGCACGACAGAAGAGCCAAGTGCCACAGGTCTGTGCCAGCAACTTGTAAGTTGTCAAACTGTTCCCCATTTTACAGTCAGTATTGATACTTGGATTGGCGATTGCGTTATGCGCACTTTCTCTGATCTCCTCCTCCTCGGGCATCTTGGAAGGTGTGTTCAGTGGGGGTACCCAGGTACCAGGAAGCAGGCAATGACACACGACAGCAAGTCCAGCGAGTCGGTTGACCTGTGGCAGCAGCAACAACGGAAATCTCAGTGGGATGTGTTCAGGGCAATGACAGCACACTGCTTCTTGCTTGCAGAAATGAGTCGTGCAATTGGCACCTTCAAAGGCAAACATGTTTCCTTGCCATGAGGAAACAAAGCATCAGAAATCTCCGATTTCACTACTGTCAAGGCATCAAGATTTTCGGTTTTGTAAGTAGCTTTGCTAAATGTGACCAACAGAGCCTGTGGTCACAAGCAGCACACAATGAGGAAACGACATAGGCAAAGTCACCACCTTAGTGGTGTCCAACAGGACAAATTGTGTACCCTTTCATCGGTTTCCAAAGTGGCCTCCAGCCTACCATTCACGGGTTTGTTTGAGCAAAGATTGCTCTGGTTGCGAAGAAGGCTCCCGCAAGGCCTCAAAGAGAATCTTTGTCCAAAAGTTCCAATAGTACTGATTGCGCTGTGGCCCCCACGGAGGTTGCACAGAGATGTGTGCATAGATAGTGCTGATGTGCCACATTCAGTGACCCACCCCTCAGGCGTTGTCATTGTTATTACACAGATTGCAGGAGAGGTGAAACAGTAAGGAAGTGCCACACCTCTTTCTTGCAAATTTTCCAACACTACATGTCATTTGTTCGTGGCCAGTTTGGGACAATGCAGGGAAACATCGACATACAAGGATTCACTGGTAAGCGTGTTCAGGTAAAATGCTGCAAATGACCCTGTTGCATCCATGACCCAAGGGAAGGGCGCAGCTAAGATATTTTGAGATGAAAGGCGCCGCAAGACTCGAAGCATGCTCTTATTTCAAACAAGTCTGGATGGCAGAGTTTGGATGGCAAAGGCAGGCAGGGCGCAAGGAACATAACGCGAGCAGCGGAGACGCAAAACGCACCCACGACGGCGCCCTCCTCCCCACCAGCTCCTTGCACAAGTCGCTGGCGAAATGGTTGCAATTCATCTGGAGCAAATGATAATGATTCCCCCTGTAGCGCTGCCCCATGCTCGACACCAGGCGCCGCACCTCGTCCGGCTCCATCCCCGTGTCTCCCATCGGAATCGACTCCCTGAACTCGACTGAAACCACACAAGAGGCCAAACCCCAAACATGAGCACCGGTATGAAACCCATATCGCATCCTTCAACGTCGGGTGCCATGCGCGCCCGGGCACTTGCAAACGGGCGGTGAGCAGCGACATGAACGCATGAGGAACAGCCAAACACCATTACAGGCGCGTCCCCCCGCCGCCACCCACACACGGAAGGGCCCGCACTGACTTACGAAAGAACAAGCACCGGAAAGAGTGCCGCGCTGGACGAAAGATGCCGCCGTTCACCCACCAGGCCCGGGCGGCTTGCGCGGCTCCGTGGCGAAGATGCCCGAAGCGTCGTAGTCGTGGCCTGGCGCAGGCGAACCAACAACGCTGTCAGGGTCGAGCACCGCGCCGCCCTCACTCTCGCCATCCCCGCGTGTTGTGGGGCGCCCAGGGGCGCTCCCAGGCCGCACACCCACCGCCGTAGGCGTACTCCACGCCGTACACCTCCACGCCCGTGTGGAAGACGCCGAAGCCCATCCAGTACAGCACGTAGTTCTGTTCAGACAGGTCATACACGTTCAGGCGCACGCTGGCCTTGGCCCCCTTGGCCATGGCGCCGCCCGTCGTGACCGCTGGGGGCCTCTCAAATGGCTCCCTGCACCGATGCCAAAACCTGGGGTGCGCTGGAGAGATCCCGGACCGCGACAGGGGAGGTATTTTGCGGCCAAGCGGCGCTGCGGGGGGAGGCCCGCTCGGCGAGGACGGAGCCCCTGGTGGTGCGGGGAGGGCGGTGTTGCCACTGGGTGTGGGTGGAAATGAGGTGTGGGCCTCGGACGGGCGCAGGGGCAATTCGGGGAGGGGCGATGCGATCGTGGGTCAGAAAAGAAGCCGGGAATGCCGGAATGGGAGGGGGCGAGGCGCTGCCGCTGTGTGACCATGTACTGCAGTGCTTGTTGGGACCAACGCCTTCGCATGTCGGAAATGGAATTAACCATTGTTCGCAACGCCGCATAATGACCACCATTTCACTGGGTGGATCACTTATGCATTATGGTGTGCGACTTGTGTGCACTTCAGGAATACTGTTTATATGCAAGGCATTCTGAATTTATAAAAGAAAAGAAAAATTTGTTTTAGAATTCACCGAATTCACAAAATTATTTCTCCTCTGATGGGACTTTTGTGAGCATCAATTTGATTGTTGTGGGAGATGCCATCTGATTCAGAGACAAATGCTGTGGTTTGGGTTGCGTTTGCAATTGAGACATGTCTACATTGCCATTGAGTGTATGGGCACACCTTTGGCATATGGTTTATGAAGTGGGTTGCATTGTGGCGATGAGTGGGCATCTCTAAATTGCCGTATGGCTGGTTGTTGATGGATGGTGTTCACTGTCAAGTGAAAAGAAGAGTTCTGTGGGTGCAAAGACATTCGAATTGTTGGGTTGCGGTGGTCGTTGCCACCGTCGGCAAGGCTCTTCGCTGTGGGAAGGGTGAACAAATATGTAAGCCCTGGGCGTGTTGTGTGTGGTGTGGCCTTGCGTCTGGCCATGTACCAACGACGTTGAAGCATCGGCGATCGTGGATGCGTGCTTCCTGCGTGCACTCCAAAGGGGGCCGTTTGAATCTCATCAACGGCCATTCCTTCAAGACTATCCTGTTAATGGGTTTCTGCCAAGGGCGACGACGGTGGGCTGCGCCGGTGATTCAAATGGCGCAGTTTTGAACCCGGGGTTTACTCAACCCCCGTCCCTTGGGATTTCCATCGCCCCAAACCTGCCTTCGTTTTCACGCTGCAGTCACTACACCTATTGGCGCATCAATTGATGCACAGATTGGTACAACGATCATTGCATTCAATCGTCCAACAATTGGTGCACGAGTCCATGCACCGAATGGCACACCATTTCACGCACTAACTAGTGTGCTTAACTTAATCCTAAGAGGCCAAATACAGGTGATTGAAGGTCACTGCGATTGAACATGTTCAACTTATGTTCAAACTAGCTTGCATTCAACTGCCTGCCAAGGCCTCAAAGACTATTTCTATTTGGTCCTAGCGCATTATACAATTGTATGTATTGTGTCACTATTATCAAGGAACATGTGTGTAGTCCAGCCGACCGCCCAATGCCACACCTCGGGTCAAGCAGAGGATCGCTTGCGCAGCGCGCGGATATCCGGCCTTGTAATTAAAGAAAGCTCGCCCATCCAACAGTCGTACCTCCCCTCGTATCCCGCCGTATTTGGCGTACACCGTATTTGACATTCGCCGTATTTCGCTCCCCGTGTCGCAAATCGACCCACTCCCGACAAATACAGTTTCGCCGCCGCTGTGCAACGGGCTTCGCCATTTCCCGCACTTCTCGCACGGCAGCGCCGCACGAGGCCAGTAGCGCGCCCATGCGGCACGGCCGCTCAGATCTAACCGCAGCCAGCCGCACGTGATCGCCGCCGCAGCGGCGGCGGCCCGCTGTCATGGCCGAGCCGGAGTGGTCCTCGGTCCTGATGGAAGCTGAGAAGCACTTGATGACTGCCGGGAAGATGCGCCTGCTGCTCTGGAGGACGAGCTTGACGGCCGCCGTCACGACGCCTGGTGGGTTTCGATCCCCATGCTCTCCTGCAGCGGTGGGCCATTTAATCAGTCCATCTTTGACGACAATCGGGGCCTCTGGGGTCAATCTGCGGGCTTGGCGTCCCGCTGCTGGTGCTCAGGATTCGGTCGTTGCCGAATGCTTCAATCTGGTGCTACTGGCCTGTCAGCGTAATAGCGGGGCTAAAGTTAGCAGCCGCAGATCCATTTCCGCTGACGGGCATCCGGCCAACCATGGCCCTGCCCAGCTTCCCCTCAGGGCGCACCGGGACCAGTTGGTCCTAATAGTGTAAAGATCAGTGTCCATCCTGGGGGCGATACAGGATTCGGGTTGTCACTGCGCGAGCGCAGCCTCTGGCCGCCGTCGGCGCAAGTAGATTGGCGTGCTTCCCCCCCCTGGGCCCCAATTCCATTGCAATTTGGGGGGGAATGTCTGTGGATGGGTAATTGTCTGTCTTTGGCCGCAAGGTTTGAAGGTGCTGTTGGCCTTTGAGAAGAAAATGCAAGCCAAGAAATTCATCAATTTGTTGCGTCTATGCAACCTTTGGATCTGCAACCCATACTCTGGTTGTCCATAGCCTGCCAGTGAGCATGTACAGGGGTGGATCCCGCCAATGCAAAGAGGCCTCCTCCAGGGGTGTCGATAATTGCTGCATCCTCCGTCTGCTTGAAATGAAGAGCAAAGGGCGGGTGTGGCGCATCTGAGTGCTGTGGGCAGGTTTACCTAGACATTTAACAGAAGGGGGAGGAGGGGCAGGAGCTGCAACCAATTACGAAACTGACAAGCGGCTGTGTGTTCATGGGCGGGGCCAAATTTAGCTTTGTACATAATTGTCTCCGGTGGCCATTTTGCCGTTGCGCTCACGGCTCGATGGGAGACGATCTGTGTCAATCCATTTGTTCGCATTGCCAGGGCACTTGCACATTCCATGGCGATTATTTGCCTTGTTCTGTCCGCAATGTTGTCCAATTCTTCTCACCAGAGGGAATCATGAGTAGGGCAACGAGACGCATGCCACAGTGTGACCCAGAGGCCACCCTTGTGGTGAATTAGTAAGAAGTAGTACACGATAATCGGCATTCAAGGTTCAAGATGTGCCGCTGCTGAGAAGTGCAGCATATGGTTCTCCCATCTAGGGCAAATGTGGCATTTGATCGTGAATGATATGTTAATGCGGAGCAATCATCTGCTGTATCTGATATTAGGCCTTGCGTTGCAATTCTGCATGCTTGCAGCTGCTGCATACCCAGTCTCCCAGCAGGCGACAGAGGGAAAGCAAACTGCAACTCGACATGATCGCTGGCATTCCAACGCCACTGTCTGTAGTGTTTCTGGGCCAGTGGTTCTTTGTGGAACATCCATCCTTTTATGTTTTATCCCTGCTCGTCAGAGCGTATTGCTTGAAGGCAGCAGCACTCATGGGCCAAGCTGTCAATAGGATGGTGCCTTCTTTGGTGTGAGCAAGACTTTCTTTGCAGTTGATCTCTCCTGTGTGGAAAAGTGTTGCAGCGCTTGCCCTGGCCTGATGAGGTGTTATAGGACATTGTCAGAGCTCATTTGTTCAAAGGTCAATCATCTCATGATTTGCATATCATAAGTTCAAGAAGCAGTGAGCTTCAAGTGGCGAACACCCACTGTCCCACAACTGCACAATCACGGTGCAAGGGCATCTGTTGCTGGACGGATCACTCATGCTATAGCGGTGCTGCAAGTCGTCTTTGACCCGCAAAAACCCAGGGCCCACTGCACACGCTTGAAGATTTTCGTACAAGGAAGAAGGCAAAAATGCCATACGATACGCACCCCCTCCCCAGAAGCACGTTCGCACTCTTTGTTTTCCAATTTAAACTTGTCGCGGAAGGTTGCGGCGCAGCGGGAATGGACGTGCTGCCGTCGTCGTCCGACGTCTTTGACCTTTCAACCCCAACACAGCTTTGTTTCGGGCAGGTTTCCTGGACGCCAACGCCGGCGAGCTGTCCTCCATGGCGCTGCGCACCCTGCCCGTGTACTCGGACGCCGATTCTCGACGCGGCGTGGCGCGCCTTCTGCGCCTGGCCCTCGCCAACGACACCTTCCTCAAGACCTTCGCAGGCGCCCTTGTCCGCAAGGAGGCCGGCGTGGTGGGGCGCCACGAGGCCGCAGTCATGCTTCGCTGGACGTGCCTGGTCCTCTCTCGCCTCGAACTGCCGGGTGCCAAGAAGGCCGTGGACAGGCTTGCCAAGGTGGCCGCCACATGCCTGGACGGGATCCTGGGCTCCGGGGCCCGCCGCTGGCGCCTGTTGACATCCCACCTGGCGCGCCTCCTGGCCGCCAAGCCCGGCCTGTTCGACGCGTGCCTGGCTGTCGCCAAGGCGGGCGGCCAGCCCGGCATGGCCCGCGCGCTGCTCGACTTCGCCGCGGGCAAGCCGGATGTGATGGAGGGCGCGAGGGCCGATCTGCTGGCAATGTATTGCGACCGTGTGCTGGGGGTGAAGGGGCCGCCCCGGCCCGGCGACTCTGGCGCCTACCGCGGGCTCCTCCAGACGCTGAGCCACGAGGAATTTAAGTCCACCGTGCTGCCCACGGCCACGCGGTGCATGCGGCGCAACCCGGAGGGCGCGGTGCCCGCGGTGGCCGCGCTCCTGGCGGACGTCGGCCTGGACATGAGCCGCCACGCGGGAGAGCTGATGGACGTGGTGATGCAATTCTTGAGGCACACGAAGGAGGCGGTGCGGCGCGGGGCGGTGGAGGTGGCCCGGGCGCTGGCGAGGGGTGCCAGCGATGTGGACGCGGTGGAGGGCATGATGCGCGCCCTGAGGGAGGTGCTGGAGGGGAGGGCTGAGGGGGGCAAGGTGAAGAACACGGCCGAGCGGGGGGCACTGGTGGCGGCGGTGGCGGCGCTGTGCGCGGCGCCGGGCAAGGGCAAGGGCGTGGCCTTCCTGGCGGAGGAGACCGTGGACTTCGTGTGCCGGTACTACGAGGGCGAAGGTGGGGGCGGGCGAATGGCCAAACGGGTGAATGGGTGACGGGTGCGGCAGGTGGAGCGGTTGGGCGTTTTCTGGGTGTCGACATCTTTTTTTTCTGTCCAAATTGACACTTTTTGCCCGAATTGGGTTTCAAGTGACCGTCTCGAACGGCGGAAGGAACACCAATTCGGACAATTTGTCTGGCAGCAAAGTGCCCTAATTCGGACAATGTGCAGCAAAAAGAAACACAAACTGGCCTCAATTCGGTCATGCGACAATTTACGAATTCGTCTTGGGACTGGACATCTGCACAATTCTGAGCGGTGCAATTGCATGGCAGGTGCCAATCGCAACAATTCTGTCAGCTGAGTCATCGTCCTGATGATCGAAGTGCGCCAGTTCGTTGCAGTACACCATGTGATTGGCAGCTTGCCACCTAACGTGTTGCTGTGCCTTGCACATTGCGGTAATCTAGTTCAGGCAAACCGATGTGGGGTGGGGGCAAGTCCAGCTCTTTGTGTTTTGTTGTTTTTCATCAGATTAGATGGAGGCTGAGCACTGCAAGTTGTTTGTGTCCAGAAAGGTTTCCATTCCATGCAATCGGCAATTTTGACAGTTTGGGGACATGAAGGCTGGTTGTATTGTGTGGCGCTCATGAACAGCCGCCCACACTAATGCAACCGCTCCCAAAATGGTGAAGATCGCCCCCCTTCACCTTGTCAAGGCCACCGAATCCGTGCATGTCGCAAATATGGCCGGAATGCTGCCAGCCAAATGGCCGTTGCCATCCACCATCGTGGCCAAGTCTGGCAGGTTTCGGCCCAGAACACCTCGATTCGGACAAAGTGTCTGGCAGAGTTTTGAAAATGCAACCTGAATTTGGACATTGTCCAGCGAGGCTGAACGAGCCAAAAAACACTTCTCGGCATTGCAGATGATCTTTGCCTTGATCCATCATGATCCTTGACCCTTGCCCTGACATGCAACCATTCCTGATGATGATGAATTGTGGATGAAATGACGTGAGAAAAAGCACCCTGATTTGGACAGTGAGGGACACAGCCATTCCCACAATAGACTAGTGCATGCACATGAAAGTTAGATCAGGGAGCGTTGTTGCAAAGGGAAGTTATCTGGCATCGTTCTACAAGTTCAGCAGAAGTGTCCCGACAGATCCTTTGGGGACCCGTTGGTCTTGCTCCACATCTTATGCCTGGACTGGGGATCAGTGAACAAGATTATTGTGTTGCAGTGAATGAGGAGGTCAAGTTGTGCACACTGGAAGCACTGGGGCTCTGGTTGTGCCGCTGTATGTCCTTCCCCGATGTAGCCACGGCACGAATAGCAAAGGGCTTGACAGAGAGCAAAGAGACATTGAGGAAAGCCAACCTGAATGCTCTTGTGGTAGCTTTGAAGAACATGGATCTGAGGCACCAGGTGTGTCAACGAGCCTGTTGCATATGCTCTGTGCCAGCACGCAAACTCCCCATGTAATGTATGGCATGCTTTGGCACTGGGAGCGCCTGCCAAATCCCAAATCTTTGTTGATTGCTTTCAGGAAATATTTTCAAGACTTTGTTCATTGCTCGCCATTGCCAACCAACAACTGGTATGCAATGTTTCATGACAAACTCCACCGATTTCCCTTGTAGAATTATCTCTTGCTGCTCCATGACCGCCCAAAGTGGTGATGCTTTGTGGTTTTCCTCTCCTGCTTGAGAGCCATCTCGGAGCCATCCTGGACGACCATCCTCTGTTGCCAATTTTATACTGTTCCATGCTGCCTTATTGGGCAGTGTGCGAGATGGGCACTGTTCAACATATCTGTTGGATTTGTGGAGTGCAGCACTGCCGACTCTGGTTTCTTCTTGTTGCAGGGTGGCTCATTGGTACCCCCCCTATGCAAGCTCATTTGCACTGGTCTCAACAAAACAGCTCAGAGAGCAGAGGGTATCACAGCATTTTTGGCAGCTGCATTGATTGCATCTGCAGATGTCAAGGCAGGTGTGGATGCTATTTTTGAATATCTTCAGCACAGTTCATCTGTTCATAAAATTCTTTGTGTGCAAGAGCCCCAAATCTGTTATTTCATTCTCAATGCTGCAGGTTCAAAGTGTGTTGCGCTGATGCAATGTTGGTGGCTCCTGAGCCTAAATGTGCATCAGTGTATGTTTGTTGCATGGCACACACTCCACACCAAACAACTGCAGGAAGGCAAGCTGCACCTGGAAGTGAACCAAATACTTGGAATAGGAAAGACAACGAGTGCCATTGTTCCGTTTCCTCTTGATGCAGTAAACCCCACCAGTGCAACTTGTATGCTTGACATTAATGAGCATGGACATGGACATGTGTGGGCAATTTTTTTGATGATCATACACAGGCTTTGGTTGGCATCAACATTTGTACTTGAAACAGACATATGCCACAGATGGCTGGAGTGAACTCCAGTGAACACTCAGCGGCAGCTTGGCCAACAATAACTTGAGAGCTATTTGTCCTATGCATCAATCCCAAACACTTCAATGCTGTGTCCCGACGGACAACAGCAAGTACCATCAGTGCCAGCAGTGCAACGGTGCAATCTGCCAACCAGTTGGTTTGATTCCTATCTGACACCATTGACTCAGCCAACTGACATCTTTGGCTTCCTGCTGTGCAAATTGTCTCAGTATATGTGTTCACAAGAAGATTTGCTGTGGGGCTGGAAACGTTGCTTCATTGTCAAGATTCAACAATCAATGGCCCATAAATATACATGCGAAAAAAGGACGTAAGTTCTATATCAGGTTTCATCCCTCATTGTTCCTGCATTACTTGTGCTGTCCACCTGGGCAAGGAGCTGATGACAACAGTGCAATGTCCATTTGACACATGGCCAAGTGGTAATGCTAGCAACTGTGGCCACAAAACACCTTGTCCTGGGCAACTTTGCTTTGATGGTACTCTAATCACTCATTGTACGTTGCCCGAGCAACAACAGCAGAACTGATGTCAAGCGCCAATATACAACAAAGAATTGCATTTGTACCAGGGTAGAACATGCCAAATTGCTGTTGGTGCATCCAGCAATTTGTTTCCAACATCGTTTTGATCACATTTCTCAGCAGCTCTTGCTGTCTTTTCCTGTGAAGTATCCAGGGTGGATTCCAGTGTCTCCTTCTGAGCACTGTGTGTTTGCCAGACAGTGTGCTTCAAACTGACAGCGTTTGGCAGTCCTGCTTGGCGCCAGAAGCTCCATTTTGGTCTGGTGACACTGTGAGCAGACTCTCCTCAGAGGAAGCCTGCCTGTTGGCAGACCTGGTGCATGTACTTCTTACCATTCAAGTGGCAAAAGTTGATGAGAATCACGGTAGGATGGAGCTGGACACCTGGTCTCTACTGTGCAGAACTGGTGTGGATGCCAATGCATTTGTTTGTCTTGGACACACTGATACGAAAACCTCTTTCATGGACATATGTGGTAGAGCTGGATGACCAGCAAATGGCAAACATTTGAAGACCATCTGCCAGCATAACTGAATAGATCTGGTGTGCAGTATGCTGCTATTGAAGAAACTGACAGGCCTTTTGCACACTGCAGTCTTTGTATCAGCTGGAAATGAATGGCTGGTTCTGCCAGTTCAGTGGTTGGGAGAAGCAAGTGATGTGTGCAGGAGCTGCTTTGATATCAATTGTCCACATGCTCTGATAGTGGTGAATTCTATACTTTGCACGGTGAATGTTGCTTGCACGCATTGGACATGCAGCCGTTGCCAATGTTAAACGCATAACTGGCCATGCAGGTGCCGTGGATGCCCTGTGCAAGGTCCTCATCCTTCTGACCTTGCATTCATCCAAGTCAGTGAGGCAGAGCGCAGGCACTTCGATTACTCGTTGTCTCGGCATGACACCTGCTCTCCTGGCATTTTTCCTGGTGGGGCTAAGGTGCTTGTTGAAGGATGTTAAGCAAGTCCCCATCTTCCAGGTACGGATCTAAGCAGAACATAGTGAAGCAAAGTGCTTATTTTCGTTGCACGACTGCACAGGAGGTGGGGCTTAATAGGTGCATTGAATATCATCTCTGGAACCAAGTGGCAGATGAGAAAGTGTGCAGGATGTTCGGTGACCTACAACCTCACCTGCTATTGTTTGTGTGTAGGGACCAGACACAGAGGAAACTGGCTATGTTTCAAGGATGTTGGTGTCCAGGAGGTTTTCAGATGCCATACTGCATTTGGTGCCATTTGGATTGGACACCTGTCCAACAGACCTTGCTCAACTCCTCTTGGCTGCGCATCACCCAGCAATCACTAACGTTCAGTCGATGCCTGGTGCAACATGGCGTCAACTGGTCACACAGCACTCTGACATTCCCAAGATACTGGCAGGTATTCCAGAACTGTTTTGCAGTCCATATGGAAGCTGTTCTGCACAGTACTTTTGTTGTACCATTTGGGGTTGGCTCATTTTGTTAGTGCCATTGGCATGGCTGCAAATTGTTGTGAAGCAGATAGGCAATCCCCAAGCAGTGTGTACTACAGATCGTGTGTGCGCACATATGGTAATGTGTTCAATAACTTGCTTCAAATCCAGAAGGGGGTGTGGAGTTCCCAGACCTTTGACCGTGCACTTGAGCGTTTGTCGGATTGACTTTGCTGTAACCGTTAACACCAGGAACAAGGCAAAGACTTTTGTCTCCCTGTCTAGTGTTTCAACAAGATGACATGATCCAGATTGAAGTACAATGGCAGTGGCGTCAGGCTTTCTGGTGCATTCATGGGGAACCAAATGCCATAATGTTATTGCATTATTTGCTCCTATTGCACCCATTCTCTCATGGCCGAATTTGATCCGGGCATGGATGCTGGATTGTTTCTGTTAACTGCATCTTTATGTGCCAGCGTTGCTCCCCAACATGGTTTTTGTTTGCACATGGATGTTGATGCCCATGAATTGCACTTGAATCTTTTAATTTCATTTGTTGCTAACTGAACCACACTGCACTGGCACCTTGAAGGCGATTAGGGCATACCGTCATGC